CACTGATGATGAAAACTGCAATAAGAGGAGGAACAGGAAAAGCATTACAATGGCTTCCACCTTTCCCATTGCTTTCTTCTCTTCACTCATCGCTTCCCTTGCAAAGTCTCCTTTTCTTCTTCCCTTCTTTTTTTTCTTGTCTTCTTCTTCCCTTTGGTGATTGAGAATTTGAGGGAATGGCTTATATATATCTATATCTATATATATTATCTTCTATATATATATATATATTGGCAGAAGAAATAGATAGAAATCATGAATGTTGGATATGTATATTATCTATATATTGGCTGAATCAAATATGTATTATTTATCCTAAATTAAACTCTAATAAATCTATCATAACCCAAAATTTCCCTAAACGGTTGGAAAATCAAATATAAGCCAGCCATACACCAGAGGGTCTACAATTGTACAAAATAAGGAGTTATGTTCTGAAAATGGCATTTGGATACCAAGGGATTTTGCTTTAAATATTGGTCATTAGTGTATTAATTACTTAATTAAGAGGTCAAAGATAATAAGATTAATTAGTATGACCGGCTGAATTTATATAGGTGGATAACTACGTGACAAATAAAAATTAAGAATGCCACTTGTCAACAGATGAAGTAGCATGGAGAACTATATCTTGTATATTGTAGTCAAGGTAAAATGGTCTTTAATTGTTTTTTTTAATGAATTTTTATTTAGGGGGGAACTATTAATTATCAGTTAATTTTAGCCATGGCCTACAAGTGGAGCGCTATTTACGTATGGAGTACGCACGTAGCCGTGCGTATGTATTTCCTCTAATAACCTTCCAATAACTCAATTATTGGGGGGTTATTGAGAGGTTATTGGAGTATTAACTCTGATAAGCTCTCAGTAACCCCCCAATAACCTACCAATACATTCTGCGGTTCCGGACTCATATTTTTTGTTGTTATTCAGAAGTTTTGTCAGATTATTGAGGGTTTTAACCAAAATAACACATACATAACCCTCCAATACCTCCCGAATAATCTCTATACGCACGCAAAAAATGCGTACGTAATTATTTTATTGCAAATTTGTTGTTTTTGGTTGGAATATTGCGGTTCTAAGTACTAAATGGAAGGCAAAATTTTAAAATATGGTATTTAAAAACATTTAAAAGGGACGGCTCAATCCCACTAAAAATTATTAAAAATCGACTAAATCGATTCAACGGCACACAGCTAGGTTGTGATTTCGATTTTTCTGTTTTTGTGATAAAAAAAATTTCGATGTCATTCGAAATATTATATAGAAAATTGTATTCATTTATTGAATTTGAACAAAATATAAATTTACAAAAAAATATATAAGTAATAGATTGTATAGATTGTACGTTATTACAAAAAAAAAAAGAAAATTATTACTTTTATTCTACTTATGCATGTCAAGATTAAGATGGATTGATAACCCTACATTATGTTGTGAAAAATGACGACAATAAAGCTAAAAATGGAATGAGAAAATTGCACGTAGAAAAAAAATAGAGCGATACAGATTTACGTGATTCGGCGAATTTGTCTATATCTACGGAGCTGCAGAGGATTTTATTTCTTCGAAAAATTACACCGTTAAGTGTCTCGACGTTTACAAGAAAATTTCTATTTTATTCTCTCTCTTCCTCTCTCTCTCTCTCTCTCTCTCTCTCTCCCTCCCCACCCCTCTCTTTCTCTTAGCTCTTAAGAGGACTTGGCTGTCTGGCTTGGCTTCATACTTTATGACAAACCAAGAGATATTATTTATAAAAACCATGAGAGCGGTATGTGAGATGTAAATGAGCGATAAGTGAGATTCTTAATTATGAAGCTAATTAAATTGTAGTGGACCGGGTCTCCACATCACCCAACACATTAGAAGATAAAATCTACTCATTTGAAACCACTAAAATGATATTTAGGTTCATTTTAATTCTTTTCCTTTGTACTTGGATATGAATAAAACATTCTTCAGTTGAAACAAAAGGTCTAAGAAGTATAATCATTATAAAAAATGTTTAAAATATGCAAAATATTGAATAAGAATTACATATAATTATTTTTTAATGTAATTTAATTTAAATAAGATAAAGATATTTAAAATAGTTGCATATGTATTTGCATAATTTAAAAACCAATTTTAAAAGAGTAATGTTAAATTAAAATTTCTTATAATTTTACTTTGTTATCTTCTAGAGAGCAATCTTTTGATTTTCTTGATTAATCCTATTAAAATGTAATATTAATGCATCTTGATCCATGTTCCCTATTGGAAAATTCTTATTGGTGAAGAAATCTTATGCCTTAACTTAGCATATTTTTCAAACATACTCGCACGAGGAGATGTAAGAAACAACATATTTTTTTTCTTGAAAAAATTCTGGAAAGGTAAAAAATCATGGGCATTGCCCAATCAAAGAAGCAGAATTTTCATCAAGCATGATTATTTCTAAACTTTTTTATAACCTTATGAATTCTGGAGTAATATTTAATTATGCTTGTATTTTTAGTAGTAAAATTATTAACTTATCTTAGATGACTTTGGATTTATGATTATATTTAAATTATTCTCTATTAAGGCCTTGAGTTAATTAGTTGAAAGCTAAAAGTTTATTCAATTTACTTCAAATTTTACTTTGTCTAGTACTTCAAACTTAATGTAATATATAAATATCAACAAAGTCTTAGAAGAACAAATCAAAATAAATCGATAGATTTTTAAAAGAGATAGACATGTCACTACTTAAAAAAAACTTTAATCTAAAAAGAAATTCTTCCTAATGCAATCAATTTACTAGGTCATCTACACATATGTTGAATTGTAAAGATTAATTAGATTTTCTTAATTATTGATAAATTTTGAAAAATATAATATTTTTATTTACAAAGTAATAATTTCAACCTCAAAAATAAATAAATAAATAAATAACAAAAGCAAATCATAATCATATGGTGTCCTTTCCTTTATTAAATCAAGTTTAATCAAGTGGTTAGTTTTAATTTATTCCTTCTAATTAAATTAATTAAAGTTGTTGAATAATAAAAAAGGGTAATATAAATTAGTAATTAACTTATTAAAATTTAAATTATGATCATTGTGAAAATTACTAAATTCATATTATATCATTTGTATGAATCATACACTAGCTAACAACATTTAAGCTAATCACCTACCTTTCAAGTGACCTTAAATTAAGCATTTAAAGTTTACTCTATAATAGTGTTATTTTACAAAACTTAAGGCTAAATGATTTCTCAATAAGGCTCTATTTCCTGCATAGTAAAAATATAACTTATACATATATTAAGGGGCAATTCAAGGAAATGTGTTTTTCATCATGTTCTTAAGGAATTTTAAATGTTGTGCCCACACTTATTCCTTACTATGTTAAGTTAGATAGTTCTTGATGACCTTCATTATACTAATTAGAAGTGTATTAATAACTTACAACATTTACATAATTTGTTGTTATTACTTGTTCATCTAATTCATGAAACTTTTTTTCAAAGGTGAATGTATTATCTTAAAATGAATATGCAAAAACATCTACCAAGTTAATTTTTTTTTTGTTATATGCATAAATAACTTTAAAAGATTTTTTCTAAGTTTTTTTCTTAAAATAGTGTTATTATATGGAAACTCAAATGTAGGTGGATACAATTATAAAGTGCCCATAATCTTATTTAACAAATATTTTTTAAACGATTTTTTAAAAGTATAATATATATATATATATATATCCTAATGTACATTTTAAGAGACTTATATATATATATATCAATCTTCACTAAAATCATTTTTAATGGTAGCTCATGTCCTCTAAAAAAATTTGAGAAAATTTTGGTATATGTGGGACGCATAATTAGTTTTGAAACATGATATGAAGAGTGTCATTTTGAGGAATCCATCGATAACTTCAAAAAATATTATCTTGCTCATAAGTTAGATGGACATGTGAGTGGGTGAATGATGTGAGAAAGCTAAAGCGATGAGAGAAATTTATAGGAGAAAAACCCCTTAAATCGGTCCAGCCATTAAACCCAACAGGCAATCTGCTCTCCGCCCCACGAAAGCGATCAGTTGTCTGTTTAACTTAGAGAATGCGAAACGATCAGCTGTTTGTTTTAACTTAGAGAATGCGAAATGAATATATCCATGAAAGGGTTGGAATCACTCCAACTTCAGACAAGATTAGAAAGAATTGCCTTAAATGGTCTGGTCACAATAAATGCCAACCATTTGATAACCCAAATAGGAGACTAAATGTTGTGGATTTGACTGATGTTAAAAAAGGTAGAGGCGTATCTGAAAGGTCTTGGACTTGTTGGATTAAAAATTATCTTACTATATTACAACTAAATGAAAATATGACACTTGATAGGATACTATGGAGAACAGGGATTTATGTAGCCGACCCCACTTATAGTAAGATAAAAACTTGTTGTTAGTGTTGTTGGTTTACTTCAATTTGATTGCTAGGACACTGTTTTTTTAAATTTTTCCTCTTGGATATTTCATTTTCAAATGGGCCGTAGCAGACTCTTCTACTTTTTCCCCCTTACAGGACAGAACACTTTATTTTTTTACCTGAGAAAATTGTCAGGAAAACCCATTTGATTAAACCTGAGTAACTTCCAAGTTGATTTAGTACAATAGCTAATGTAATAGCATTAACCCCAATATGTAGTTGAGCACATGATTTTGGACTATGTTGACTAAGCTTTGCAGGACATAAAATATATATCAAAATTACGTACATCCATTCATTTAAAAAATAAGCTATGTGATGCCAAGAATAAAACTCATGATTTTATACCATTTAGATGCACAATATGTTCCCTTCGCATTTGAATTTTGCATCAATTTTCATCCTAATTTAAATTTCAATGTTTTTGGAGATGAATAAGTTGAACTCATGACCATCGGCATAATAAATATAGCTCGGTGTTTCACCCAACAAAGCAATTAAATATATAATCTTAAGACTATATTTATTGAAACACATTTGGATTGGCTATAGAATACAAATTTTACAACAAGCTCAATCAATTTTAGTTTTACATGACTATTTAAGACTAATTTGCAAAATCCAACAGCAATATAGAGGAAGCTTGCAATACTGGGTGTGTAAATTAATTGAAAGTCGTAAGGTTTGAAGTAGAGGCATTACCTGAAGTCAAGTACAGCCTTTGGCCATCAGAGATTAGCTCTGTATCTAATATTTTGCCTCCATCTTCAGATAGAATGCATATCCCTAAGCAGTTGAAATGCTGCTCGGCACATCTGATGAGCTCCTCCATTGTCTGAGGAATCCAAATCACTATTCCTTCCTTTCTTCTATCCCTAGAGTCCCAAGGATGGAAAGGGAAGACTGTGCATTTTTGGCGTTGTGTTTTGTCTGTGAAGCAAACAAAGAATTACCTCATTTAATAGTTGAATGTCTTCCATAGTGAAAAAAAAAAGGTGAAAATTTATCAACATGGCAGATTGGCTATTATTTTCACACAACATGACAAATAAAATTTAATAAATTTCACTTGATAGTTTATTGTTAATAAAAAAAAAAAAAAGGATATCAACCTTGAAGCTTTTCTAGGAAGGGTTGACATATTTGCTTGAACACCAAGATAATTCGTGATATTTAGCAAGATACTATTTTGTCATGCACAAATAAAACTTAATAAATCATCAGCAACAACAACAAGAAAACCATTATCCCACTAAGTGGGGTCGGCTACATGAATCTTTTTTCTCCATTGCGTCCTGTTTTGTGTCATATTTTCATTTAATTCTAATAAATTAAGATCATTTTTTATATAATATGCCCAAGTCATCCTAGATCTACCTCTGCCTTTTTTAACATATTTAACATAAGTCAAATTTACATAAGTCAAATTTAAAACATCTACGCTTCTAAGGCATTTAATGTGACCAAACCATCTACGACGACTCTCTAATTTTGTCTGTTACTGGAGCTACACCAAACCTATCACGGATATATTCATTTCGCATTTTTTCTCTAAGTGTAAATCTCCTCATCCACCTAATCATTCTCATTTCGGCAACGCTTAACTTAGTTTTATGCTTCTCTTTTAAAGACCAACATTCAGAGCCATAGAACATTGCAGGTTTGACCACCATCTTATAAAATTTTCCTTTGAGTCTAAGCGGTACTTTTTTATCACAAAATAGGCCCAAATAATTCCTCCACTTCAACCAGCCAACTTGAACTCTACTAATAACATCCCCATCAATTGAAAATTAACCTTCATGAATTATGGATCAATCGGCGTCTTATATGCAACATCTTTGATAGGTGTGCTCATGAAATTAATCTCCAAGAAATGTTTCTTGCATGCAACCTTTTTGATTCGTGTACTCATGAATGCCACATCACCAATCCATGTGGGAGAATTCATTGTAATTAATTTCATAGCAAAACTTTTGCTCTTTATTGTGTAGTTAGACTTACTATTTTTGTAATCTTCTTAAGATTATAAAAACATGGGTCAAAAGATGGAATAAAAGTCGAGCAAATTCCTACTCTAATTTATTTGTCATGGTATTAGAACAAAAGCACTAAAATAGTCATTGTATTTCCTTCATTTGTCCTTCATATAGATCTCGTGAGGATCCACAAGGTGTTGCTCAATGATTACTATTATTCTATTTCAATGAAAATATTAAGAGGGATTAGGTTATTTGTCTCAATAAAAAATTCTATGAGGGATTTTTGAAAATTCCATGAAGATTCACTAACCTCTCTTCAAACCACTCACATGGGGATTTTATTCTTCATTCTTCAGCCACAACTTCGTACTGTTCAACCATAACTTCACTCACAGATGATTTATTCTCTGCTTAACTCTATAGGTCAAAGCCATCCTCATACTTCCTGGAGCTCAAAGCAATCCGCATGTACACCTAATACATGAACTCATGCATATCTGATGCCCATGTATAAACTCGACTTAGGAGCGCAGTTCATGTAACTCCGGTCTTAGTCCATCCTCAACTCTTTAATTAAACCAAGTTGGACTTATTGTGATGCCTATTGATCTATTTTCTCATGATTTTAAGAAATTAAATATACTTGGAAATTTCAGCTTTGAGTCATTTTCATGGGGAAAACTTATGGGGCATTTTGATGGAAGAAATACCACTATATCAAAATAACCAAAATTAGCTCAACAATAAAATAAAGATGTAAGAATTATAACATAGATTTAAGAATATATTTATCAGGTGACATTGCTCAGCTAATTTCTCAACCTGAGCCCACATAAGATGACAAAAAATATGTGGTAATTTCTAATATTATATATATATGTATATATATAATCAAAATAATGCAACCTCATGTTTGCAATTAGAATATAAGATTATAAATTACATTCAAAAAGTCCTTTCAATTCATTATTAATTTTTATACATCGCTTTTAGTTTTTCATATGTTTATATTTTATTTATTTTTTTTATAAATCACTTTTAATTGTTCAAGAGGTACATGAAAAAAAGAGATCAATTCTTGTTGTAGCTTCATCTTAAATTTAAGACAGTTCATTCCAACATGATAAATCACAAACCCAACGTGCATTAAAAACATGTGAGAAACAACAACTTACAACACATTATATTCAATATCAAGCACAGGCGAATATTGTTGCATATATAGCTCATGAGAAAAATAAAGGAAAACACATACAATCGATATACTATTACACTTGCAAGGTTAAGCAAATTGATCAAATTATGTAAGATATTTTACAACTACTGTAGGAAATCAGAACATGTGATTAAAGAATTTCAGAAGCATGCATATAATCAACCACATAATTCTACACAATCAACTATTAGTGATCAAGATGTCCATTTGGTAGCCAGAAACAAATCAAAGGTTACTCCTAAAATGATGCAGCAGATGAGAATTAAAGCTCTACAGGGCTACAAGGTATAGATTCCCTAATCTCTCCGTCTGGATTTTTGGAATATGGTGCTTCTAATCACATGATTGTTACTTCACATATCTTTCATAATATCCAACCATATCATAGATCATCATTTATTCAGACTAATAATGGCAATCAATTACCTAGAGTTATCGGAGATTTTACTTATACATTGAAAGAAGTCACCATATCTCATATTGTGCCAATTATTCTCATCTCAATAAAAAGATTGACCGGTAATAATCAAAATGTTCAATTTTCTAGTGATGGTTGCACCATGCAAGAATAGGAGTACTAATGAAGGGGCCTAAAATTGAACTTAGCATCCGTCCATTTCAACACATCGTTTCATAATCTTTCATAATATCCAATCATATCATAGATCATCATCTATTCAAATTACTAATGATAATCAATTACTTATCAGAGTTATTGGAGATATTACTTATACATTGAAAGAAGTCACCATAAGTCATATTGTGCCAATTATTATCATCTCAAAAGAAAAATTGATTGGCAATAATCAAAATGTTTTATTTTCTAGTGATGGTTGCACCATGAAAAAATAGGAGTACTAATTAAGGGGCCTAAATATGAACTTAACATCCATCCATTTCAAAATGTTATTTCAGAAACTTCTACTTCGACAAATCAAAATAATGATATCTGGCATAAGGGACTAGATCATCAAAACTCTTAGTAATTCATGTGACTTAGGTTGGGAATTTTGTTCATGTTTTTTTGTCAAGAGAGCCGTCGATATCTAGATTTTCCCTTCTAGGGTTGTATCTAATGGCAAGTGATGCTCCGGCTATATCTCGTCTGAGGTAGTGATTATCCTCAACCTCCCCACTCGTTCAGAAGCTTCCTTCTGTTGTCGCCGCCAAGATATTGCTGCAGCAAAACTTAAAACAATAAATTTACTATTTTCCTATAGCTATCCACCACCTCTCCTCCCTTCACAATCTATTGTCCCTTGTCGTCAAACCTTCTTCTCGCTGTCATCAACCCAAGGAGAGCCCGCTTGTTGTCTTTCTGTAATTCTCGCCCTCCCTAATTCTGCTATCATTGTTCCAGCCCTCCACTTCCTTTCAACTTTTTCCTCGCTCCCGCAACCCCATGAACCCCTCACTGTGCTGCCTACCATAGTTCAGCCATCCCCACACCTTCCTCCAGCCTTTCCAGTCATCTTGTATCACTGTCGCAGCCCCACAACTCCGTTGCCTTGCTGCGCTACAACTGTCCAACCATCCTACATCGCCTCCATAGCCCACCGCTTTCCCCTTTTGCTGCCGCCACACCATCCCACTCTCCAAAAATCCATTTCTACCTCTTAGGAGGTTTAAATCTTCATCGATCACCGCTACCATCCCCATCCCCATACCCCCATACCCACCCACCCCCCCCACCCCCCCTCCCCCTGATCAAGCTCTAACTTGAGTTTGTGTAGTCAATTGTTGCAATTTCAGTTTTCTATGAGTCAGTTGTAATTTTCTATTTCAATTCAACAATAATATTTGGTTTTCTATTGTTATTTGGGTTATATCATACATCAATTGGTAATAAATCTAGCCAAAATTTATGTTGTCTAATTGTTTCTAGCATCCACTAATACCCAACACTACCTCAACACAATAATCTTTTCCTTTGCTAATTTTTCAAACTAGCCACCAAAAAATTTTTTTTCTCACCCTACATAATCCTTGTACCCCCTTCCACCTAACCAAACCCAAACCTCAACCATGTCACTAAAGAAACAATTGTGGGAGACCTATTCGGAAGAAAATATCGCAATGTTGTTTATAAAAAATCCGCAAAGAGATGTTCGAGAACCTTCTATAGAGGATGTTCGATGCGAGGCAATCTGAAACGGTCACTTGAAGTCACAAGAGTGATTTATATATCAAAAGAATATAGTGAATCCCTTCCATCAGACAAAGTTCAGAAATGAAGAACCACTACCGCGGAGACTTGGCATGAAATATCAGATAGTTCAGAATTTTGAAGTTAAAATAGATTTATCATATTTTGACAGCCAATTGGATCAAGATAAATTCATCAAGTGACTCCAGACCATGAAACTTTTCTAGAGTACAATGGCATCCCATTGGGCAAAAGAGTAAAGTTGGCCACAAACAAATTAGAGAAGAAAGCATTATTTTGGTGAAAAAATTTAAAGCACCAACGCTAATGTAAGGGAAACGGCAAGATCACTATCTAGTTCATAATTAAGCAAGAGATGCAGTTACAGTACCTACCTGCTCATTACAGACAAAATGGCCAGACTTTAGCTTCAAAAGTAAAGAGGCAATGTCACCAAGTGACTGCCACATCTTATAGGCAATGTTCAAACCTAAGCTCTTACATTCAAAGTACACCTAGAGGAACATCTAAGTTAACCCCACTTGAAGAGATACTATATCAGAGTAAACATGTGAAACTAATCCAC